TCATTCCAAAATATAACACACAGTCCTAGACGTTTGGGAAGTGTTAGACTTGTGATTTTGTGATACGAAATCCTGCATATATAGCTCGTTTGCTGTGACATACTGTGTTTTTGTGTCAGTAAAATAATGATAATCCTTTATTTATAACCCACCCTATCTCACCAAGGGGACTCAGGGCAGTTTCCACTCAAAAAAGTGGCAAACATTCAGTGCCATTAATGAAAACACACAAACCAAATCAAACCAATAATAGAACAGCATCAATATAACTTATAATAACTAAACAAAGTAATTAAATTAAAACAATATAAAATAATTAATAAAAACATAATAAAATCTAGTCTAGTACATTTATATCATAATAAAAATCTGCTAAAGTTCATTAAAATTTAACCAACTTTTGTCATCTTAAGGTCTTCTTTCTCCCATCCCCAGCTCATTTCCATTGTTGCCTGTCCCTTTGACATGGTCTCTTTTACAACATCACAGTTGCAATGCTCTGGCCCCCTCAAAGCGATTCCTAGAGTGTCTCCTGGCTGACGCTCCATCTCTCTTCCATTTGTCATCTCTACCTCTGAGGTGGCCTTTCTATCTATATACTTCCTCTTGTGGTTGCATTTGAGTATATCTTATATTCATATTTATCACATTTGGTTTTGAGGCCCTAACCCAGAAAGGGTGATTTTTTTGTTGTTCAACCCCCACTGTATTTTAAGCTGTATAATGTAGGATATGTGTACTAGCTTTGGTCCAGACGCATTAAGCTATGTCAGAATCTTGTGGAACATAGAAACATACACGTTTGTTCCACAAAGACTATGCAGAAGAGTAGAGTTTTCAGGAGGAGAGGTGATGGACTAAAATTCCCAGAATCTTCCAACAGCCTTGAAAGCTGCAAAATATGAGACTACAGTCAAAAATAAACTTTTCCATGTTCTGAGAGTGACTTGAAATGTGTTACAAATCTACTATAACAGGGAGCTTATGGAGTCCCAAACATCTAGGGGTTGCCTTACCTGGAACTAAAAATGTCTGAAAAGTGTGTATAAAAAAAGATAAGTCAGTCCTATGGTGATTCTGGTTTTGTTCCTGGTATGAACTGGATTTAGGTTAATCTCTCTCTCTCTCTCTCTTTCTCTCTCTCCCCCCCCCCCCCCCCCATTAATGTCAACATCTAATGAGATTTATAGCTGGTGACCGGCTGGTGTATCTCTTATGAATTCTACCACACCCGATGAAACTAAAATCAGCAATTACTGGCTGTGTTGTATCTTGCTGCTGAGACTTCATGGCATCTGCAATGTGAAGGTCTAATAGAACAGCATATACCAAGAACATTGAATTTACAATGTAATATATGGGCACATTCTCAAGTGCCAGAGATATCTTTTTCAGTGTGCCCATGTTGTACTTGTAAAAAAAAAATCAGATGGGCACCAAACAGTTCAGAATTGATTTCCACCCCCTGCTTCTGCTCCACACAGGAAGAATCATGGCAGAACTGCAGTGCTTAGTAAAGGTCGGTATGGCTTATTATCTCCAGGCAACAAAAGGGAATATGAACTGCAATACAAGTTTAAGAGAACTATTATTAACGAAATAGATATGACACAGCAAGTGTGCTAAAGGTATTACAAGACTACATTGATGCCAGTTATTCCATGCCAATCCTACTACCTTGGGTTGCAGATGCTGGGAGCACAACCTATTGGAGAAGAGAATACTTTGTCATGCATCCTGCCCTGAGCCTCTTTCTTTCTGATGTTCCATCATCAGTGCTGAAAGATTACAACTTCCAACTAAATAATCCGAGAACTAGGATGTGATATGATGGTTTTAGTGACAAGATTTTTTTTTTCGTGTCAGGAGCGACTTGAGAAACCACAAGTTGCTTCTGGTATGAGAGAATTTGCCATCTGCAAGGACATTGCTCAAGGAATGCCTGGATGTTCTGATGTTTTACCATCCTTGTGGGAGGCTTCTCTCATGTCCCTGCATGGGGAGCTGGAGCTGACAGAGGGAGCTCATCTGCACTCTCCTTGGATTCGAACCTCCATCCTGTCAGTCTTCAGTCCAGCCAGCACAAGGGTTTAACCCACTGCACCATTGGGGGCTCCAATGACAAGAATATATCTTCATTTATGCACAATTTCTAATCCAGTGGTTCTCAACCTGTGGGTCCCCAGATGTTTTGGCCTTCAACTCCCAGAAATCCTAACAGCTGGTAAACTGGCTGGGATTTTTGGGAGTTGTAGGCCAAAACACTTGGGGACTCACAGGTTGAGAAACACTGTTCTAATCTCATATATGGGAGAGATTGTATAGATAGCATACAATAATCTCTTCTTAAATGGATTTTTGGGTTTTGTATTCGTTACCATCACAATCCAATATTTCTGTCAAAGTACAAAAAGTATCAAAGGAATGCATAAATCCAACAAGCTTTTAAACAAATCCTTTCTTGTTTTGGTTAGTGGAGATATCTATTCAAGAATATGCATATTTACATGGAAATATTTATTTAACAATCAAGTCCATGTGCAACTCCATGACTTTTAGCCAAGCTAATGAAAATGTGCATTCTTTCCCAATAATAAAACATTCCTGTTCTGTTTCTTAAACCAGACTTGGCTATTAGAATACTCTTGGAATGATCTCCATTTCTTAACAGTTTTTGTTCCCAAAGCGTTTTTACCATACAAAATCTAATGTATCCAGGAAACAGTTAAATCAAACATCATCACAGAACTGGAATGTTGTGGATTGGCTAAAATAAGCAACTGGACATTCACGGCAGAACTGCATTCCTTCTGCTCATGAACTGAGGCACACTAGCATATAAAATAAGCTGGGGCTTACATATTCTTTGTGTATGGTGTTTTTATGAGTTAGAAAAGAAATTAAAAGTTAATGATTCACTTATATGCATACAATAGATAAAAAGTGCTATGGGCTGCTTGATGGATCAGAAGTTAACAATCGCTGGCAGAGCTGTATCAAGGGCATGCCCTAGGCGAGGATAGCAAAGACTCTCTGCCTTCCCTTCTAAAGAGAAAACAATCCCAGTACAAGCAGTTCCTAAATTATAAACATCCAATTTAAAACCATTCATAGTTAAGAACAGGGGTGAAACAACAGGATATGAGAGAAATCCACCCCTAGGAAGAAATATTCAGTCCTGAAAGAGTTACCAAGAGAAAACGGTGTCTCCACTGAAGCTTTCTCGCCAATCCTTGTTTCCACAACAAGCCCATTTTTTCAAAATCCAATTATCACAGGGACAGAAAGTGAGGCGAAATCTTCTGAACGGGGCACAGGCAGCAAAACAAACACTGGATGGATGTTCACACTTTCCTATGCTATGCAAAGCTAAAGAATATACTTTTTTGTTGGAGTCTCATTTACAAAATATATCTATTTTGTCTTACAAGTTGAACTTAATAACAAACCTACAAACATATCTTGTTCATAACCTGGAGACTGCCTGTAGCCTTCTGGTCCATTTACTCACAGTTTCTACATTTCTGTGAAAATAATCAAGAGTCTTGTAGCGGCTGAAAAGCTAAGAAATGTTAGTCTCTTTGTCTTCTGCATGCAGTCCAATCTTTGATGCTGAATAAGGAAATACTGGGGGGATCTTCGCTGTTGAATTAATGCAGTTTAACTTTAACTGTCCTGATTTAATTATATTGAATTGTGAGATTTGTAGTTTGGTGAGGCACCAGCATATTTTGGCAGAGAAGGCTGATGACTTTGCAGAATTCCATAGCATAGAACCATGGTAATTAAAGTGGTGTCAAACCGCATTAGTGGTGCACTGTGAATGCACCCATTGTTGCCATGATGAAGCTAGAGCCTGAAATAATGGGTTTAGAAACTGGGAAATTATTGTTCAGGTGAGTGGGCTTAATAACAAAAGACCCTCCCCATAAATGTACAGCAGAGTAACTTAGCAGCAGCATGACCCAGCACCAGTAGCCCAAAGTGATAAAAAGAACAAAAACACACAGACCAGTGTTGTCTCTTCCACAGAAGGCTTTTATTTGTAGTAAAATAATATGGTTACACTATTTACAAAAATAAAGTTTCCATAACACAAGTAAACAAATACAGAGTAGCTTTACAGTTTTTTTAATAGAGCTGTTATCTCAGATTTTTCTAATACATTGAAATGTGAAATTCACTTGAGATTCAACTTAGTTGAATTCTGTCCAGCGAATTGAGCAAGCTGCAATTTATTAAGGGGATGGAGGAGCTTAGGGATTTAAAATAAAGATTTAGCAGCACCCTCACCAAAATGTAACATCCGGATTTGTTTTAAAGACAACCAAAGCATGGAAGCAATCAGTTTCTTCTGAAGATATTTTCGAAAAAGCAATCCAGATCTGCTTTTTATGGTAGAGAGACAACACTCCATCAATATTCCCATTTTTAAAAAGTCACCAAAAATAAAATAAAAGGGGAATTATAAGATAGGAAATCTTCTTCCCAGCTCAACGGCCTTTGTCTCAGTAGAGATGTTTATTTCTTTGAGCTCATAGCCTTCCTATGTCAGCCCAAATAAAATGTTTAAAATCAACCAAAACAACACAGCACACATGTTGGCTATTCAGCAGTGCTGATATTAAAATGATTAATCAAGCTGTTTCAAACAGAAATGCAGCTGCTCAGTGTCTAGGAACACTGATGGGAAAATATTCTGCCAGGGACAAGAGGTGGTTCTTTCCCAATACTCTAGCTAAATTCAAAGGAAGTTTTCACTGAATGATCCCGGATGAGTAGAGGAAGGAAATGAGTCACAAATAGCCTGAATTCAAACTGAAATCCATACCAACTACAATTCTCTATGGGTGCAGAACAACTCTTGATACCCTTACAACTCTAACTGTTGTATGTCAGTGCTTAGCACCACGGGAATCAATTAGCACAAAGTTTTCTGGGAGAAGTAGAAGTAACTTTGGCTAAGATAATGTATCCATAGGGTTTGAAGGAATAAAAAACTATGCCCTGTGGAAAAGAATAAGAGTCTGCGGAGTAAAGGATACAGGAAACAAGACAGCTGAGGAAGTATGATTTAAGAAAGAGAATCTACGTAGAAAGTTGTCTGGAAAAAAAAGCAGATTCAAGACATTTTATAGCCTGGTGCCAGGAGGGCCTTCACACAATTAAAACTTGTGTGCCAGCTATAACCATAGCTTGAGAAACTGGACTTGGCCACAGTTGCCATGCCTTGGTTACATCCCATTTAGACTAGTGTAATGGGCTCTATGTGGGGCTGCCCCTGAAAATTGTCTGGAAACTTCAATTAATTCAGAGATCCACAGCCAGGTTATTAACAGCGCTGCCAATATGTTTCCAGGCCTGATTTAAGGTGCTAGTTTTGACTTTTAAAGCCCTGAATGGTTCAGGCTCTACTTACCTATCTGACCATGTCTCGTCATATCAACCCACCAGAATGTTAAGATCTTCCAGAGTGGCCCTTCTCTCATTGCCGCCACCATCGTAAATGTGGTTGGCGGTGACGAGGGAGAGGGCCTTCTCTGTGGCCACCCCAGCTCTTTGGAACTCCCACCCCAATGTGGTTAAAATAGCCCCCTCCCTGACATCTTAAAGCAGCTAAAGACCTTCCTGTCCACAAAAGCTTTTAATGAAGATAATTAATTTGGAAGGACAGGAAGGCTAACTTTCAGTGAGTCGTGCTAAGTTATCACCTGTATCAACAAGTTTCCTGCAACAACTGTATTTGTTAAATGTTTTTTTAAAAAGGGGTTGTTGTGATGTTCCAGAAGCATTCTTGTTGTGGTTCAGCAACAGCATGATGGGTCTGAGAGTGCAAATGATGGGCCTGTGGGTGCAAATGGGCATGTGAGAAATCTGAACTCTCAGTCTTCTCAGCCACAGTTCACAGCTGAAGGGAAGCGCTTGTGCTCACAGCCCAGGAATGTGGCTGACAAGAGCGGTGAAGGTCAGGGCAATCAGATACAGGTGCCGAGAAGAAGCGGGAGGATTGCGGCCAGATCTTGAGGCCATCTGTCGGT